TTTTATTTACTTCTCGAATGTTACGAATGCGTCACTGTGCACTAAACATGAAAATGATGAAAATGATACCACGTCGCCAAGGGAGATAAATAATCATGCGGATGGCGGAAAATGTGAAGAAGAATGAGCAGAAGTACGTCGATGGCAATCATACAAGCTTTGGATTTAATCTTTATTCGTCACGAAACTCTTATGATCTATTATTTAGAGAGTTGGACAGAGAAAAAAGATTCTCGTCTAATGTATATACATTCTATAGTGATAATGCTAATGCCGTCCAATACTGGACAATATAGTGAGTCTCTTCTAACACCGTCTATTCTTTCCGACTTTCCTTTTTTTCAATATGCGGCACTTTACCCTCCCAGTGTGCTTAATCCATAGGCTGAAGATCAATCCGCCTGACACGATAGCATAAGGCTTCGTAGAATCGTATGCGCAAATGTAACCATTACACAGTTTATACCTGGCGTTGTCGTTGTCAAGTATGTTAACAGCGATATGAAGAAATCATGTAAGTATACTATTTTAAATTCTTTACTTTTTTAAATTTGATTTAAATTAAAAACGGATATGGCAAAATATTGTTACGTTCTTTTATAAAATTTTTTAGCTGAAGCTTAAATATTTTTTTTGGATTGTATTTTATTTAATATAAAAATGTATTTATTTACTACAATTATAGAATAAAATTAAATAAGAGAAGCGAAAGAATATATAAAATGTTGTTTAAGAAATAAAATAATTATTTGAAAATAATAAATCATAAAGTTTACTCATATAAAATGTTAATATTTAGTCAAATAGATTGGCTTTTTATAAAACTATTTTTATTTGTATATAATTTTTAAATGTTAAACTTAAAAGAAAAAACATATAAAGAATACAAAAATTTTAATTCAACCTGTTATCTGTTATCTGTATCTGTTATCTTTATATGTGCCTTTTAAGAACAATTTCCTAATCTTATAGAATTCTCAATTTAAACAAAAATCAATAAAAAAATTTGATTTTGCGTATAAATTGAAAAAAACATTGGTAATTCAAAAATACTTGTACAATTTTAATTCCAAAATTATGGAAATTTGATAAAATTAAATGAATTGAAATTGTTATAATTTTTTGACAATTTTGCTTTGCTCAATGTGCAGAAATATCTTTTCGAAAATGCGTTAGAGAAAAATGGATCCGTCAGAATCTCAGGAAAATTTACTATCGAACGAGGCAAGACCACCTTCTGTGCAATCGTTAGCAGCACCCATTGACTATATCCTTGGTCCAGTCGAGAAGCATTTCCTACTTAGCGCGGAACGAGGTGATTGTGCTACTGTCAAAAGGTAATCCTGAGTATTTCTCCGCATTAATGTCCTTGTAAAGATATTCTGGACAAGACATAAAATAAACTAGATTCTATGATAAACTTTTCACTTGCTTCCGCACATAATTATATAATTAATGCATAAAATATTATTTAAATACAGTTACAAAAGCAGATTGATCTAATTTAAATTTTGAAATACAATCGAAATGTATAACTAATAATTAAATTATACATTCTGCGAAAATGTATATTTTTATTAAAAATTCAATTTTTTATTAAAAATCATTATGTGTGTGTGTGTGTGTGTGTGTGTGCTGTGTGTGTGTATGTGTGTGTACAGAGTGTTCCGCGAGACTTGTGCCACCGCTACGTAAAAAAATAGATGGGACTGAGATGACCATAAAAGTCCCATACCATTTTGTGATTCGCAATATTAATCGAGATATTAATT